GGAGCAATCAGCTAAGTGAGCTTAGTGCTTGGAAAAAATCTTTCATTCCTTTAGAGACAGCATGAAAAGTCAGCTGAGCAGGGGCGGATTTAGATGGGGGGCCCATTGCCACCCTTAGCCAATCATTGGCCACCCCTACCATTTTTCCCCCTCTGTATTAGAGGGGGAAAAATGGTGGCAGATGGTGGCAGCAGCAATACTCTCAAGTGGAATGTTAAAAACATTAAAATGTTTCATATATTAACAATTACTTGACAAAAACACTTCAGTTAATGATGCACATCAATATACCTACATATAAGACGATAAGTACAGAATTCATGCTCTTTTCAGAACTAAATTTTGTGTTTTATGGGGTAAAGAGAACATGATGCGTCTCTACAAGTCATCACGGAGTCTTCAGGGAAACCATAGATAAATAAAAATTTCAAGAAAAACATATTAAATAATAAATTTATGTAGATATTAGTACTTGTAAATATCAATTTTATGCAGAATGATTATTAAAAGTAGGTAAGTAATGAACTCAAACCTGAAAGAATTTTATCTACTATACCTTTTATCCAGATAGATGTTTAAATATATGCATTTATTTGTTAGTAAAGGCTGTACGAAAGTATAGTTTGTCTTTATTTAGAAAATATGGATGTTGTGCTAATTCATTTTCTTGTTGGAACAGCGTTGATTGACCCTGAGGTTCTGGTGCCGATCCACTTCTGGCCACCCATCAGTGTACATTGGTCACTGCAGCTGAGTACAAAACATAGAGAGGAAAACAACAAGAAAAGAGATAAGAAGAGAGGGACAAAACCTAGAACAGATAATGTATGTCTATTCTATTAACATTTCTATGGAAGAGGATTAGGGCCACTGGAAAAAAAAAAAATTAACTGATTTTTTTAATTTTATTTCAGTATAGTATGGGGAAAAAGTCAGAATTCTGACTTTTTTCTCAGAATTCTGACTTTTTTCTCAGAATTCTGACTAGGGTGGCCATTTCTATAGCACCAAAAAGGAGGACATTGTGCGGCATATCAATAAATTACTAAGATGTACATATTTATCGGGTAAAGTCACATTTATAGCACAATTCTTAGTAGTTTAAAGAGGATGCTTGTGTAGCTGAATAGAACAAAATAGCCTATTAAAGAA